GCCTGGCCTCCTTGATATGCCAAAGGTGACTACAGGTGGTTAACAGTGTTGGATCATGGCTGTTGGAGAGAGTACGTAGAGTTACAGCCAGATGAGTGTTGTATGCAAGCTTCTACAGCACCTCCCATGGCTGGCTTCCCTTCTATTTTTCACTCTACCGTCAACACTGCTGACAAAGCCGGGGAGCGGCAGACCTGCACCACAATGGACTCACAGCAAGCATGGGACCAGGCAAACCAAAAGCGATGAATGGACACCTCCCCCGAGCTAGACATCACGACATATAAACATGCCTTTTCACATTTGTCAACCGCTCTTCCAAAATTGTTCCAACGTTACGTTTTCATTGACATGTGTGTTTGGCTACGGGTAAGGTTGTGAAGGAACATTCTCTAGACTGCCACTTAGGGTAACTGCATAGAGAAGACAAAGAAGGGCTGCTGGGCCTGCTGCCCTTTGTCACAACCTGCTGGTATCACCTTTATAATTTACCTCCGTCAGGTGCCATTTTAAATAATACTCCCAACAGCAAAATTCCTTCTTACGTGAATTACATATGCTGACCTCTATATAATTTACGTAATTACACAGATTTGCCTTCTATTCATCAGTATGAAATACACAGATTCGTGTGGGGTGGTAAGGGTATTGTGCACAGGGTATTGTGCTTAAGTCATAGGTTTGAAACCCAGTTCTTACATTTGCTAGTGGCAGGAAGGAATATTCCTGAGCCTCAGGACGGCAGTCTGCAGGGGACAGCAGCGTGGCAGATCATACCTAACCTCTACCCAGGACCAAACAGAACTCTCTCAGATGGGATCAGAAAGGCTCAGCTCTTGTTGATACAGAACTCAAAAGTGCATCGTGGGGAAGTGGATTCAGCTCGTTTTAAGCACACCCAAAACTAGGGGCTGAAGAGTGACCGAAGGGGCAGGTTGACCACTTCCATTTGGATGAAGCAAGACCCTGACTGGAAGCCCAAGCTCACACTGCGGGCCGCCATAGGAGGTGGGGGCACAGCTGAAGCTACAGAAGTCGAGCACCCTGAGGATAATCAGTGGGTCCAGGACTCAGTGAGGGCCCTGCCCGGGGTACCACAGCAGACGCTCTGAGCACTTGGTGTCAAGATCCTACAGCAGGGGGATTTGTTTTCAGAACCCTCTGGGGTCAGCCTGGATTCTTTCAGTGATGTTTGTGTTTCTGTTTTTTACTTGATTTCTCTTGGCTGTCTTTCATCGTGGTAGGGGCATGTAACCCAAGAGCTGCTCTCCTACCAGAATGGGGACTGTAAACACGGTACCATCAGACCCAGGCACAGCGCCGGGCAATACAGCAGCTGAACTTGAGGAGCTGGAGCAAAACCTCACTGGCCTAGCTGGAGCTTTAGACCCATCTTTCAAATAAAATCTCATCTGCCTTGGTGCCGTGGTTTGTTTGCTTTTTCCTGCCTTTCTGGCACAGACAGAAGACTACACCCCTGCAATTTGGCTCCTGGGCAGACCAGGCCAGCTACAATTGCCCAGTATCCGCTAGTAGACCATCCCAGAAACAGCTTCTCCCCAGAGATGGTTCCAACCAAAAGATGGGGTAAATTCTGAATACTTCCACTATTTTATCACTATACAAACTATAAAAAAAATTTTCTTTCCTCTTTATCAAACTATAGCAAGAGAGCAGTAGCAATTCCAGGCACTAGGCATGGACAAATGCAAGTGAAGGCAGGTATGTGTGGGTGAGAGGAAGGCCTTAGAGGGACCGTGTGCAGCTTGTCACACACAGGCCTCTGCCTGGCTTGCTGAAGAGTGTCTTTGGGACCACAGCAAGCAGGCACTGCCGCACTCTCTCACACACTCCCTGGGTGTCTGCCAAGCTGTCCTTTGTGCATGCTAACGACACTCCGGTTTTCAGCCTGCCCTGAATCCTCAGTCCCAATGTGTTCTGAGAACCAGCACTCTGCCCATAACTCCTGACCCAGAAATCCTATTCCTCTGGATCCATCTGAAGCACATGTGTGCCCGTATCCAAGCGTCAGAGATGCTCAAGGCCAAGGAGGTACGTCCATTTAAGAGGTGCTCAGAGGCAACCTGAAATGCTAGGCTCAAAGAACAAGTGACAGATTTCACTAAGTTATAAAGATGAAGGGGTGGTCGTATCAGAGCATTCACTCACTTGGTTATTCATTATACAGTCAGCCACACATTCATTAACCCAGTCAGCCTTGTGCTGGACCCCAGACAGGTACAAAGTAAGGTATTTCAGCCTGGCCACCTTGCTTGATTTACCTGCCAATAGTTCTGCCTGCCCCCAACACACATTCATACATACATACACATATGTACATATCTGTATTCTCTCTCTTTGCCCCCTCTGTTTCTCTGTCTCTTTCTCTCTCTCTCTCTCTCTCTCTCTCTCTCTCTCTCTCTCTCTCTCTCTC